TAGGATTCCTCGCAAGAAAAGGGAAAAGTTGTCAGCTATGTTTCAGAGGCATGCTGCCTCCAACATTCAGCGTAGAACATAGCTATGATGGCTAGTAGCCACAGACACTTATATCCTCCAGAAATGTGTTTAATCCTCTTTCAAAGCCATCCAAGTTGGTAGCCATCACTACAACTTGGGGGGGGGGGGACATTTACTTATCTCCATAAGTAAAAGAATTAGAAAGTTTTAAAATCTGAAATATTAAAATAAAGGAAGCAGACTGGGTTATGCCAGTGGCATAGTATGTTGTTCCCACTCATGCACAGTGTGGGGGTGGAAATGTACCCAGGGGAGAGGTGTGCACTGCCTAAATTTAAAAAGTGGAGGGGGATAAACCTTGCATTATGGGGCTGTGTAGGGATTCCAGATAGGCTTCGGTACATTTACTTTTTCTAATCGGCTTCATGAGAATATCTTGGGACACCATGCTTCTAAAGGAGTAAAAATAAAGATTTTGGAGGGGGTGGGATACTCTCAAATAAATTAGGGTTGTATTTAACTCACTCAGACAAGAGCTGTTGAAATTAATGGAATTAAGTTAATCAAATACATTGATTTTAATGTGTCTACTCTGTGTATAAGTTGGATACAACTGATACTCTTGAGGGGAGAGTTCTATATTTCCTACAGTAGCAGGGTAACAATTGTGCATTAATAGTGGAAAAAATTGCTTGCATGAAAAGCCCCCAAATAAACAAGAGCTCTATTTTTAATAGCTTTCACTTTCTGATATATTCTGTATATTGCTTTTTTCAACCTGAGGACAATAAAGAAAAAGTAACATGGAGTATCAGTAGAAAACTGGCCATGTCGAAGAGCAGCTGAAGCCTGCAATAAAGTTTGATAAATATCCTATTTATTTACAATTCTACAGATTCTCTCACTTACGTTTTGTGCTTCTTTTTTGTCCTTTATTGAATTAAGGGCATCTGACTATAAACAAGGTTACGGTTACTTAATGATTTACTTTCTCCAGTTCTGTTTCATCACGTAGCTCGTGATTTTAGGGGTTTCTCCATGCCTCATATCAAGAAAATTATTCGGCTTTAACAATATCAGCTTTCAGGAATTTCTGAATGTTAAGCCTCAGTCAAACTCTGGAAAGCCCTTGTTTTCCTGAAAACATAGGAAAACTGCACCTAAATTAATTGTAGCTACTTTCTACATAAAGAATTTTATCAATCAATCAGCCAGTCAATATTATTTTATTTTAATATGATAGTTTATTTATCAATCAATTATCAGTCAATATTATTGGTTTGGGTGGGGGAAGCTAATCTAAGTTGAGCATTTATATGAGCATGGCCGGTTTTTACAATTAAATGGAAATCCTAGTATGGGAACAGTGAATTACCTTCTTTTTTACTCAAGCTTCTATCCTTTCCTCCATCACACAAGTCATCCAAAACCATCTGAATTGGTACCACTAAATACCAGGGGTGCTACCCCCATGTCCTTAAGAAACCCACACTAAGTGAACTAATGACACTTCCATGGTTGAGCTCTCCTTGGAAAATGTTGCACTCCCAGCTTTTTGATAATTATGAATAGTTTTCTGAAACACTGTGGCAAGCACAAAGCCTTTTATATACTGGTTTAACTATGGTAAATTCTGAGAGATACTAGATTAGATTATCCTTGAAATGCCTTCCAGTCCCAAGAGGCTCCAGGGTCTCAAATGTGTCAAAAATGAAATAGTCAGTTCTTTGGAGCTTTCTGTTTGAACTGCTCAAAATGGATGAACTCAATAATCAAAGGTAGTACAAATATTAATAAAGACATGAGACAATGTGAAGGGGAGTGTTGCTGCTGAATTACATAGTAGAAGAATCACTGCCTCACTGACCACATGCACAGAAACTAATTGTGAGGACCGAAAGAACGACATTTCTAAGAACTCAATGTTGAAGCCCTTAGTCAGGAAAAATTCCCATTAAACTTTAGTGAGAGAAAGATTTAGTTCCCTATCAGCAGCTACTGAGATTTGCTACATGAGCAGAATTGTTCCTCACTGGTAATTTTGGGAGAAGTTCTCTGCGAGTTGTCAGCCATTCACTGAGTGCTGAAGTTCCCTTCAGCTGCATGACACCATTATTTCCACTGGTATTTCAAGCAGTTTCAAATCCAATGTCTGAAACTTGACACCCGTACCAAGCCTAAACACATCTGGTTGATTCGAGGCCACAAATAGCTCTGGAATGTCTTTGACACCTTCCATAACTGCCATACTTAAAAGCTTCATTCCAAAATAGAGCTGACCCCCCCCTCCAAAAAAAGCTTGTCAGCCTGATAGGACTGGGCAAAACCTAGAAATGTATGACACAATATAATTTTCATAACTGCACCAACTTATGCAGGCGAGTGTGTCACTTGTCACTGGTGATGTCATGAACACCAGCCAACTGATTCTAGGGAATGGCTCTGGGGTATGGTGTGAAGACACACAGGGTGACCACTTTGTTGAAGCTAAGCAGGTCCGAGTCTGGTTAGTTTCTGGATGGACAAGCACCTGGGAACCACCTTGGGGTCCATGAGAGAAGAAAGGTGGAATTGAAATGCACAAAGCCAAACTAAAATTACACTAGGTGGTGCCTTAAAAAAAAAAGGCACACCTCTTTACCTTTATATTATCTGTTTTGTGATTGCTTTTTTTTTTTGCAATTGCTGTTTTTTATAACTGCTTTGAATGTTGTGCTTCAAATGGTTGTAAGCTGCCTTCAGACTTTCAGGTGAAGAGCACGTAATTAACTAAAATAATAGTTCTGCTTCTTCAGCATGCCTGATGTTTACATACTGGGCATTATGTAGTCACAGGGGCCGCCGTGCCTTATGTCTTAACACAAACCACACAACCTAAATATATTGTGGTTTTTGGTACATAGATCACATCATTTTGGCCTGCACACACTCTGGGAGTCTGCCTGTGCATGCTCTCCTATGCAGACAAGGGTGGACTTTCAGTGGGCAGGGAGAATGGCATTGGCAGGCATAATCACTACCATTTCCCACGATTCCTCCATGCATGTCTGCACGGGGGTTCAAACTACTGGTAGGCCTAGAAAAATCCCAGCCTATGCTGTTTCCAGCAGCATAAATTCATGCCAAGGTGGTCATGACATCCCCTGGCATGCAGTTGGAATGTGCAGGCTTTGGCATTCCAACACAAACCACCCCTAAACGTGGACTCGTGGCGGAAGGCCAAAACCCAAGTCTGGGCTAAATCCAGTCTGTGATGGCCGTTTCACATGCCTGGCTCACCCACTGCAGCAAACCAGCTCAGTCAATGGCTTTCTCCCCCAACTGCTATGAGCTGAGATTCATAATAAGAATAGATAGCACAGCATGGAACTAGGAGAAGGGAGATCATGAGAAGGAAAACACAAGCCACATTGTAAACTTCAGGGCAAAGTCTACATCCAAAGGGGGGGGGGGCACGGTTTGTATTAAAAAACTGATCTTAAAGTCGCACTTCAATAGCTGGCAAAACTCAAAAGTGCCCACTTCTGAGCCATAGGTGGACAAAGTCATTTGAGTAGAAAACAAAGAATGTGGCATTGCTTGCATAATTTATCTGTGGTGTTTTGCAAATGTGCATGGCAGTTACCAGGATTGCTCAGTGCTCCAGGACATATCTATGTGCAAGAGGGAGACTCAGTGTGCAAGTATACATGAAGGGAGTTGGAATGCTATCATATCCCTGGAATATACTCTTTCTCCAGTATTTTGGTAATGATAAGCATTCCAAACACTTCACAGGTATTCACAAGAATTACAATGACCCTGTAAGGTTGGCACTTATGACCCCCATGCTGCAGATGTGGGATTGAGAACTGAGATTTACAAGTAGTGACTAGCCAGCAGCCAGCTGACGTGTTTGGGGCTGAGGTACAGTTTGAACTTTCCCCCAGTCATTATGTAGTTTTATTATTGAGTTGCAGAACCCTAGCTGTATATGAGGTCCTTTTGGGGAAGAGCAAACAGATACTGTGCTCCTGCTGCTGTGAATGTAATGCAATGGGTTTTTTTAAGCTATATTCAATGTTCGTGTTTGTTTTCTTTAAAAAAATAAAATTTGTTTAAATATCTGTAAACTGCAATTTGGACCAGATCTGAGCCACTTAGAACACAGACTTTTAAAACATTTTTGTTTCCTTTTTTATGTTGTTAGCCACCTTGGACAGGGTGGGTATTGTAACTGAAACACAGGGTTAAGATTAACTTTAAATTTAATTAAATCAAAATTTGATTCCTTGCACTGTGGTCTACTTTCAAATGGCAAGTGTCCCAGTTCACCTCAAATGTTTCAGTCAGGATCTGTTGTTTGGCAATGCAGTTAGAGTTATTCTTTGAAAGCCACTGATACACTCAGATCAAAGTTGCAGGTAACTTGTCTGATTCCCTCTTCTTGTTTTTGATTTGCTAAACAGCTAAGCTGAAGAAGAGCTCTAATGTTATTTCAGTTGCTCCTCATAAACTTTGTTAAAGGTATGGCACTACTATCACACGATCAGGGAGCTCACATGAAGCAGATAGTCCCAAATCTCTATTCCATGTGAACTTTATGCCAGCTGCACTCATCCACTGGGAAAGCACAATGCACGATTATCTCAGTTTTGTTGAAAAGGCAGCTGAGAATCCCTGGGCATGTGATAAGAATAGTGACTTTTATCCACATAAAAGTCATAACATGAGCAGGAAAATCAGTCATGTTAACTGACCTCAGGTGGACTCCCTTAGATGAAAGAGAGAGAAAAGGGGGGAGGGAAACCATGTCACATTTTAGAGGAAAATAAGGGGTTGTATTCAAGCGGTTGGGTTCCTCTGCTCATGAGAGACTTTTTTTCCTCCACTGAGGCTTCTGTTAATGGAAAGGAGAAGGAAGACAGTTTTCATAAATTCCTCCCTTTATCCTGCAGCCCCCACCCCCTGTGCCACCTTCAGTGCTGCTGTGGTCCCCCAACTTTCTTGAGCAGATGGGGGGATTAGTTAACAGCCACCTTCTTCCCCTTCTACTTACAAAGAAACCCAACTCCACAGGTTTAAAAATCCTTCCACAAGCAAAGGGACACCATTGGATACCACCCCCACCCCTAATACTATAATAAACTATAGGAAAACACTCCTAATTACTTTGCAAGCATATGGTGGTAAATGCCAGATGACTAGATGCTAGAGAACAGGATCTGACAAGGCAAAGAATAAAGAATGCCTCCAATGGCAACGGTGTTCATAACAGAAAGGGAATCAGACAAGAACTGAAAAATATCTCAGAAAGTATGAGATTCCTTTGCTCTCAAGACAATTATTCAGGCATAGTTTGATCAGGTCAGTGATGTGATAATAGCCACAGAAAGATGGCATTGCAAAGGTCATCCATGTCATTCTCTCCTGTACCTGAAATACAGCTTCTGGTAAAGCCCTCCCTTGACATCCCTATCCAGCCTCCGCTTGAAAACAGATAAAACAGAGCAGGGTGTTTTGCTTTATTACTGAAATGACTTAAACATACAAAGCTATAGATTGTGATATTATTTCAGTGTTTTTTTAAAAAATGATTGAACCCCCTATGAAGGTAGATAGGTAGGTTCTTCAAAAGTTTAGTGCCTGGTGCCTTTACTTTTCTTCGTGAACAAGCCACAAAGAGATTTAGAGCCCAGTCCTAACCCCCAGATCAGTGCTGCTGGAGAGAATTAAGATTAGCTGGAGCTGTCCCTGCACTGGGCTCACTGCTGGGTGGAGGGGAAAGGGCTTTGCCACAGAAACCCCCACTGTGCCCATCAGGACTGCAGGCAGTTGAGAAGCTTCTGTTCTGGGGTGAGGGCAGAGAAGGGCTGGACAGGAATTTGCTGGAGCCTAAGTCAATCCATTTGCAGGAGACATGCCCAGGGTGGGCTCCTGGGCTGTGCCAGTCTAGAGCTGGTGCAACAAAAAATAAAAATAAATAAATAAATCCCCCTCCACCTACTGATCTGGCTAGCAGGAGCTGGCAGGGCTGCAGATGGAGCAGAGGATTTCGGCGCTCTGCGCCCCTCTGGCCCCTCTTCAGATTGCTCTGTTATTTGTTGTTTATTTGTGTTTTTTTAATATTTCAAACCAGCATGTATTCTTTAATGGCAAAAAAAATGCATGCTTAGTTTTGGATTCAATTTGCTGTTTAGCCTCTAAATTTGTCCCAGCCTTATGAAGTGATTCTGTGCTTTTATCTCCCTGCATCTCCCCCTCCCCCTTTTTAGGCCACTGAATAGAATCCAGCCCTGATCTCATTGGCTGATTTGACAATTCCGTCTCATTGATGGAGAGATGCCTTTGAAATGACCCTGGGTGAGATTAACATGTGAAATTATTTATGAGTTATGTAAGACAACTTAAACGATGATTAAAATACATACATGGTTCTTCACTACAAGTATACAGCAACGTCACATGGTCTACAACAGAGCAAAGCTTTAAATTGTCCTGATGTTTTCGTCAGGAGGCCTGGTATTGATTCTGTTAACAAATCTTCTCATTCTCCTTCTTTATCCCCTTGCTAAAACTCATTATTTGATAGAGTAAAGGTTGTTTCATTGTTGTATTACGATCGGAAAAGCACCAATGGGGGTGATATATAAATACAATTAATTATTATTATATGTTTAAAGATATCTTACACAAATATTTGTGTGTGTGTGTGTGTGTGTGTGTGTGTGTGTATTTGCACTGTGCTTTTATCCCACATCCTGACTCTCTTAGGATTTGCAATGAAAAATAATTATATCTAATCATTTTATACACACCCACACACCCAAAGGTTTACAATTTCATTGCTACATATAAAAAACATGTAACAGCCCAAAGATACAGGCTTTTTGGGCTTAGATATGGGCAAACCATGTGTTTTGAAAAGCGATAAATTTTGTTATTCCAGTGATATAACAGTAAGTAGGTTTGGGGACTGAGGAGTGTGTTTGCAAAGAAATTCCAGACTTGGAAGGTACATAAGGAATCATCTGGCAGCGGTTTGATTTTTTAAAGGCAGCTGATTGAAGCCACTTAGGGGTTTGGATGTTAGAAGTAGTCCCGGTGGAGCTGGATTAATGGGCAGAGTGTAGTGAGGCGGTCAAAGGTGCGTTATAAATGCAATTTGGCGTAATTGCAAATACCACACTTGCTCTGTTGTTACAAAGAAGAAAGACTTCCATTTCTAGTGCAAATTTCATGAGCTTTGAATTTACTCCAAGAAACTGCATATTATTTAAGTATAAAAAGTAATCCTCATATCTGAGTCGAGTGATAGAAAATTATCTATAAACAGCATGTAATTTTTTTTATGAATCAAGCTCTAAATAAGGAAAACTTGTGAGCTAGGAATTCAGAAGAGCAGCAAAAGACGGCTGATTTGCTGCTAAAGCTTGAGAACAATATTTAGTTTACCGAATCAATCTGGAAACAAAAGTAGTGCTTGCCTCAGCATAAAAGCTACAAAAATTATATATAAAAAGAAGTCTTAATAAAACATGCAGTTGGAAAGAAAAGAAGAATTAAAGGGAGGACGCCACCATGAAAGCTCTCGTCGTTTCTTGTGAATGATGAAATGGAGCATATCATTAACCAAGGTAACAAGGCCACAGGACTCCTAGGCATGCCTATGAAAATATTAATTTGTCCAATATGCAAAAATTCCTGCATATCTTTACTGCGGGGTGTGGGTGTGAATTTGTGCCAAAGGAATTTGCTGTGGAAAACTAAAAATGAAACGTCCATTGGGTGTTGGGAACTCCACACATACGAATCTTTTGTCACTACTAGGGTTTTTTTAAGTGGAGAATGAATGGTCACTCCATGCCACCAACTTGCTGTCACCATGCTTCCTCCTCTTTCTCAACCCCTTCCTTAACCGTCTTCTGAGCACAGCTGCCTGGAAGCTCCCAGAGTTGATATAAGGACAACTGTTTAGAAAGATGAAGGGAGAAAGGGTTTGGGGGAAAGTGTGTAGCAGTCGGAGGACCAAGACTGCTATGAACTTTCTCCCAAACCCTTCCTCCTGCCATCTTTCTAAGCAGATTGTCCGTATATCAACTCTGTGAGTTAAGCTAGGCTAAATAATAATAATAATAATAATAATAATAATAATGATAATGATGATGATGACTGGCCCAAGCCACCCAGTGAGCTTTATGGCAAAGCAGAAATTGGAACCCAGATCCATTACCAAATCCTACGGTCCAAACCCAATATTATATCCACATCGCCACACTAGTTCATGCTATACGGTTTAGTCACTCCACGTTCTCATATGGCAACAAGGAATCGATTCAGGAGATCAAACAGGGAGTCATTGTAAGCTGCTGGTTGCTTAAATTTCCAATTTTAGGTTGCTGGCATCCAACGCGTTACTAATCTGGGTAGCAGAGTTAATAAAAAATATTTTAGTCTAGTAACTTTCAAATAATTATTTGAAAGACGGTGTTTTACATCTAAGCACTTCTGTTTGGCCCCCAAGGGTTACTATTCAGTGATAGGCTGTAGGAGACTTAAGCAGTCTCCTGGTCACTACCAATGGCCCATTACCAATGGCCCTTATCAAACGGGACTCTTTGAGAATTAAAATATCTTGCCCTGACAGAAATCAGAATTAACTACCAAACCTAACTTCTGTTTCGTTTCCCCCAGTGGTGCTCATCCAACAGGTAGCATAAGGACTTTGAAATGCTGCTGGCCTTTCAATACTTTCTCCTAGCTCATTTGGCCACATACTACTGGCATAAGACTATGACAGAATGGGCTTTTTTGCAGGAAGCATGTCAGATGGTTGGATACAGTACACAGGGCTTAGATTTCTGTTATAGTATATCTAACATGTGAATTCCAAACTCCTTTTAAGAATGACAAGAACAGCAGCAGCAGCAGCAACATGGCTTCACTTTTCTAAAGTAGTGTAATCCAAGTCACAAAACTTGTGCCCAAAAAGTGGGCTTGAGACCTCAGTGTAGTCAGGAACCAAGGAGAGGCAAATCACTTTAAAATCACAGGGGAATATGAAGAGCACAGATAAATAGAAGTGTATGGCATGAGCTAGTCAACTGGGCCACTGCATAAGTATTAGCTTCACTGCATTGTGTGAAAGCTGTATATGATATAACTGGTTATAAGGCGACCGCATCAGACCATTCCAGAACAGCTGACCTACAAAGAAGAAGAAAAGTGTGGACTGCATCTTCAGACGGATCAACACTTTGGCTTATAAATCTATGCCCATTATTTGTGCTACTCTAGAAAGACAGGATAAGCACTAACTGTCCCCAAAAAGATGAGGAAGGGATAATGATTCAGGCACTGAAAGCAAAGGTTAATTGCAGTTCAGAGAGTCTTGCCCCGAACACAGAGTGAAATTTCTCATATATATTAATAGACGAGACAGCCATTCCATCGCTCTGGCTTTTTCCATAACTTTATCAGTTTAATTTGCAATTCACTTAACATTTACAAAAGAGGCCAAAGAAGAAGGAAAAGAAGGAAAAGAAAAAGGCGAATGGCCTTTACATTTTCTTGAAGTAAACTTTAGCTGCGTAAATATGCAAGACAGGTAGTGGAATAAGAAGGGCAGGCTCGTGTTAGTTTGCAAGTGTTCCCCCTTAACTTACCACTACTGTGCTGCTGTTCCACCAAATTAGATTAAGGTCACAATACTATAAACACTTGCCTAAGGGTAGGTCCCATTTAATTCAGTTGAACTGAGTAGACATGCATAGGATTGCATTCGTAATCTGATTAAATGGCCTTTTACTACTCTGACTAAAGTTAGGATAAAACTATATCCTGATGTTTCCTGCTATATGAAGACTGCTTTTGCTGAAGTTCACAAAACAAACATGTGTCAGAGATGAAGGAAACTTAAATCCAAATCTCTTAACTCCGGGACTAGGCAGTTCTATTGTGGGAGTGATTCTTCTCTTCAAAAACTTTTATTTGTGCTAAAACTTGAGGCAGAATCTCACAGAAATATAAAATAGATAATGGTCAGGAGGAAAGGAGTATTACAGCATTGCACATAAAGTCTTCCTTGCTTGTTTAAAATCAAAGCATATTATCTGCTTTTTTTGCAAATCAAGGTGCCTGACTTGTCAAATTTCCAGCCTTTCAATTGTCAGCCTATGACTGTGGAGCTTATGGACCACCGACTTTACGGGATTCAACCATATGTCCAGATCCCAGTATATGAGAAGGCCAGCTCTAACATAAGAGGTTTACGGTAGTAGTGTAGCAAACCATAATATTTGCAGATGGCTGCAATAAAATCATTCAGGAGAGGAAAGGTGCAGGGATGTAAACCTGCAAAGCGTTTCCTCCTCTTCAGCCATACAAACAATTGCATCTGAGTAATGCAACGTAAGGAATATGCACACCAATGAACCAAACAAGCTGGTGGTCCAAGATGCTACTTTATTTCCCCGCACCCCTAATCCCATGCGTATTTTAACTTCCTTTTATTTTCTGCATAGGATTTAGCTTAAAGAGGCAAGGAAAGAGTACTAATGTTGTGGAAGACCTTTTATTCCTCAGTTTCGAAAGATTTTGTGTCTTTTAAAAGACACAGCAATCAAACGGGAGTAAACAGTGTTGTTTTAATACAAGATGTTTTGGATCTTTCTTCATTATTCTTGTTTAGGCTTACTTAGGATTTTGAACTAGGCAATATTGAAAGATACAGTAAATCACGGGCACAGTTAGGCCAACTCCACAATTTATGTGGCAATCATTATTGTCCATCAGTTGACTAGTGTTACAGTGCATGTCCCTCACACGTGCTTTCCATGTTGGCAGACAATTTTTTTATTATTATTTATTGAATTTATATAGTGCCCTAATACCCAGGGGGGGGGGTCTCAGTGTTGTTATTACATATAAACAAACAAAGAAACAAAATACAAGGGTAGAGCCACCCTTTGCCTCATTCCCCACACCACACCCCAAGTGTTAGGACATTGTCAGTTCAGAACACAGGTGACCAGACTGTGACAAATTATATGCCCTTTTCATGATTCTGTCCTGTTTGGTGACTGACTGCTAATCAGCCGTTTGTCATACACACTTGCCTCTGTTGGTAAAAGTGTGCATGGCAATTAGGGATGGAGGATTTAATCCATTGGGTAAGTGATGCAGGAAAGACCAGAAGCACCTGCCACTCATGAAGCAGGCTGCCCTGTATTCTGGAGTGTATTCACTATTACAAAGTGAAGGACTATTAGGGGAAGAGTTTTTAAAGGATTTGAAAAATTTATACACACACACACACACACACACACACACACACTTAAACTTTGTTTATAAATTTGAAGTGAAAGCAAATTTCCCAGATTTTGTAATGAATGTGATTTATAAATGCATAAAAAGCAAAGAGCATGCTGGAAGGCATAAAAGAAGATCTATTGAAATTTACCATTCATTCTGCTTATTAAATAGAGGTGAATGATTCCCATTCCCACTATCCTTGTCACAGATCCAAGACTAGGAAAACAATTAAGAGATGAACTATTGTTAGGAACCATCTTACTGTTTGGGTTCATGCACATGTGTGTGTGAGAGCTAGACATGTGTACTGGAAGAGAAGACAACAAATACTTAAAAAGGGAAGGCAACAGTATTTGTGTTAAATTACCTATATAGAAAATGAGCTAGAGCTTGACTAGATCTGATTTTCCTAAAAGGAGATTCAAGTTTCAGTCTTTTTCAGGTACTTTTTTACCCTAAACTACTAACCTCTGGATAATTCTCCATGTCTAATATAAATAGCTTTTAATTTTTGTACTCCATAAGGTAAGATGGGGCTCACTGAACTGTTTCTTCTTCTTTTATATAAAAAGCACAGGGCCCTTAAATTCTTGTCTTTCTGCTTACAGGCAGAAGTCCCCTGGACCAGTTCCCACCTCATCAGACTCTGCAGAGTCAGAGCTTTGATCTTCAGGGGTTCTTCCCTTCAGCTCAGTAAGCGAGTGCCTTTCAATCTACCTTGCCAGTCCAAGGCAGTGCACCAGGAGAGAGGCCAGAAGGCAAAAAGATGCCCACCTGCACACCAGAGTGTTGGCTCTTTAAGGAGTGTAGCTTTCAAAGAAGAGGATCGAGCCTAAGCCTCCCTCCAGTGTTTGTTGCAAGATGTGAATGCCTTGTGGGCCCTTTGGAAGACTCCACCACCTGGGCACAATTTTGAAGGCAGATAACCTTTTATTCTAAGAGGTTAATAATGCCCTCATCACTTTTAACAATGAGAAGAGCACTCTATACTAAATGCAGATTTTAAGGTCTGCTTCTCGCAATACAGCCATCACAAGAATGCCATTTGAAACTGGCTTTGTACAGCAACTACTCTGTTAAGGCAGTTTCAGGGTCAAAGTGCAAGTAGATAAATAGGTACCACTCTGGTGGGAAGGTAAACGGCGTTTCCGTGCACTGCTCTGGTTCGCCAGAAGCAGCTTAGTCATGCTGGCCACATGACCCAGAAGCTGTACGCTGGCTCCCTCGGCCAATAAGCAAGATGAGCGCCGCAACCCCAGAGTCGGCCACGACTGGACCTAATGGTCAGGGGTCCCTTTACCTTTTATCTATATTGCCACCATACTATGAGGAACAGACCTGAAGAAGAACTGTAGAAGATAAGCAACCTCTCTTACAGTACACTACCATCTGACTGATAAAAGGATAACTTGTTAAGCGTGTAAGGAAGGTGTAGATAAGCTTCAGGCATTTCCAGACCAAAAATTCTGTGACGGTGCTCCACTTCACTGTACAGATCATCAGTATGTATATACGCAAAGCACTGTACACACTCAGGTTCCCTCTTGGTTCAACTGAACTAGCACTTTCATGTGTATTAATTCTCATATATACATTTTTAGAGAGGCAGGCCAAAAGGTAAGCTTTAATGTATTTTGATCAGGCCTTTAAATAGCAATATAGGTGTTTAATCACAGGTGCAAGAGATTTAGCTATTGTTAGTCCCCCACCCCCTTACATAGATGTTTATGGGCAGATTGTCTAACATGGAGTTTCCCAAACTTGGTCTCCATCTGTTTTTGGACTACAACTCCCATCAGCCTTTGCTAGCAGGACCAGTGATCAGGGATGCTAGGAATTGTACAAACAAAAGAGTACAAAATTAACATGTGAAGAAGTGGGGGGGGGGGAGTCATACTGAACTAAACAAAGCACACAATTTCTTCCTTGTTGAATGCCTTAAGCATATGTTGCATCTTATGTTGCACAAGTGTACTCATTAAATATTATGAAAAGTACCACATGCAAGAAAGCTTGTCTCTACACGCCATAGCCATTCGTACCTGTGTGCTCATATTTGTGTCGCAGAAGGGAACTGCTTTTCTGGAATGTCTTGTCACATAAGTCACATGCGTACATGCCACTTTCTGTCTTCTTGATCTTCTTTCGGGACAGGCAGGAGTCGGAGTCTGTCATGTCATCAAGACCTGACATGTAATCCGGAGTTCCATCAAGCAATTCTCCCTGTGATGCAACCAAATGGTTTATGTAAAACATGTTTCCTTCCCTTGTTCTGTGATGTTATACAATATCCTGCGTTCCTATAGTATGTTAGTTACTATATTTAGTTTCATCCGTAACCAGGTAAGCACCCTGAGTTACAATAAGCAGCCTCATTGGCTCACACTCAACTTTTTATCCCATTAAGTCTTACGTGAGTAGTGCAAAACACGTATGTCCAGAGCTGCATCCCAGAGAGTATGTTTAGGATGCCACTTGGAGTCTGAAAAATCATCTGATGACACGGGGCTGCCACAAAAACATATTTTCTCAATATCTCCTATAACATCTGTGGTGTCTTAATGTTGTTTGTTTTCTGCTGTCTCTGCACATCCCTGGCTGATGGGCTTGGGGAAGTGCGCAACATGGCGATGTCACAACATGGGGATAAATAATCATTACAAGGAGACATGTCTTCATTGCGGCAGATGTATTTGTACCTGCTGCCCTGTATGACTAAAAATATAGTTTCAGTCTCAATTGGCATGGGCACCCAAAGCATAACAGAAAAGGCAGAAGCTGGCAAAATTGTGGCTGCATAAGCAATCTGAACCCTTTTACAGGCTATCATGTGCTCAGTCTCTCCCTATGCTGAGGGAGGGTATGAACTAATAGTGTGTAGTACTGATGGCTGCTCCTGAAATGCTGTTATGAAATGCTATATCTATGCAATGGAAGAGAACAGGTGGACAAATGGCCACTTATACCATTACCAAGTCAGGGAACATGACAACAACCAGAGTCAGCTCCACATAGTTCTTTGTGATTTCATCCCTGTGGAAAGCACTGGAGTGATCAGAATATGATGTAACCACTTTCCACAGGACCATAGATGCCAGCGTGTTTTGATGGAACTCCTGCTCACATTACTTAATTTGTTGAAGTCATATCCAAATATGTGCCAGCTTTCAGTTCCAGGAGGTCATAGTTGTCCTGCATGACTAAACCCATCACCCCAAAATTAAGGCTGCAATCCTATACATACTTACCTGGGAGTAAGTCTCATTGAACTCAATGGGACTTAATTCCTCAGCAGGCATGCACAAGATCACACCACATAAGCACTCTTGGACATAACTGTGAGGGGCACAGGAAGTGCAAGTGCCGCATTCTTCCGTTTCATAATTCCCTCACCTTCACTTCTCAGAGATACCCAAGCAAATTCAAGGATTCATGTTTTCTGAGGACAATGAGAGTGGAGGATATGGACATTCTGTTTTGAATGATACAGAGATGCAAGAAAACTTGTATTTCCTATCGTCCCCACATCTATAGCTGCTCTAAAATGTAGGACATATCATTTAATAAACAAAAAACATGCTATGGATGTGTGCACTCTGGCCTACAGCTTATCATGTGGAATCTGGCTAACAACATGGACAAGTTTGTACACGGAATTTGAAAGGAAGGCTTCGGTGACAAGATAGCAAGCAACTTTTGCTTTATAAATATTCTGAGGTTAAGTACTTTGACGTATAAGCATTTCGAGGTTAAAACAGCAGTATCTGAAGCTGCTCTAACATCTATTCAACTTTTAGGATAATTCTGCAAAGTAACTGGAAGTTACAGAATGTCATAGTGTGTCGCAAACCTAAAATAAATGTGCAAACACAGCTTTGTCTTTGTGTAAAATCCTGTATAGATAATTTATTAAAAAATAACTCTACATACTCTGTAGGGCTGAAACTTGTATTTCTTGAACAGGCTCCCTCCTCCAATAGCCCTTCATACCATAAGCCACTTGGGAACAAGAGCAATATGAAACTAGTATGTGTGTCTACTGCTCAAGGAAAAGATTATGGTAGTTTTTAGGGTTGCAGAATTTGTAGCTTGCAGTGCACTTCTGTGCATGTTTTATTGGAAATAAGCCTTGCTGAGTTCAATAGGACTTACTTCTTGGTCAGTATGCTTAAAATTCCAAAGTGCATTGTGTTCATAATAATAGGAGGTTGTAAAACAAAAACAAAACCCAAAAATAACACACACACAGTCACAAACCACTAGGTACAAGCAACAATGACAGAGCTTTTCTTTCAAGACACCAGACTATAAGTGTTAGAAAGGCTTCAAAATGAAGTTTATATTTAGGCACAAAATATTATTATGCAATCCACTTAAATGTATGTCTCCCCTCTAAAGGCCTTGAGCTATATTTTTATATTTAATTTTGTAATTTGAAATAGGGAATATTAATAACACTTTTTATCAATGCTGTATCTATGTTAAAACAGCCTTCAGCATTAAGCAGTAATGAATGTGGATCAGTAAATTATTAAATTTCTTGATATTTATTTTGTCTTGATCCAAAGAGAGTGCAAACTTGCATGATAACGTACATTTCCATTTGCTATCAGACAGTTCAGTTTCTTAGACTAGGTTTTTACTAATTAATATTAGAGAAGATTAAATAGGCTTAAATACGTTTACAAAGAGGGCAGATGTACTGTAAATTGGAATAGTGGAACAGCTGTTATGGAGGTACCGTGCTATTTATGCTCCTATTGTGCAGAGAGGGATTACTGCCTGTAACATTAAACCATACCTGATTTTCACATTTGAAAATATAAAACATTTACTAGTTGGTAAAATTACTAATGGAACCTAATAGGTCATATGGGAATGTCCACAGATGTTTTAAAAAATCAACTATAATCAGTTAATCGCTGTCTGACAAACTGTAGATGTATTATATATACACAATTCCTACACACTATGCATGTTTCCTGTGGATAAAATCCTTTGCTATATTTAAGTGGACAGATGTCAGTTTTTATTTTTTTATTTTTTTGCAGTTGGGAGAGTTCCTAAAAGTTTGAACTCACCTACATTGGGCCATAGCTCAAAGCACATGCCTTTAATGCAGAAGCTTCCAAGTTCAATCCCTGGCAACTCCAGTTTTTTAAAATAAGGATCTGGTAGCAGATGATGGGTAAAACCTCTGCCTAAAACCCTGGAAAGCCACCAACATTTAGAGTAAACCTTAATGGGCTCAGTGGGCTGATGGTTTGACTTAGTATAAGGCAGCTTCATAGATCCACATCAGCCCAAAAGTGGACTGAGAGAACCTTTTTATGAAGATAAAAACCAACAGACACTATATTTTTAGAGTCTTCTCAACAATAGTCCAAGGGATGGGGTGGGGTGGGGGGAAGAATGGATCGGTGAGGAAAATGGAACAGGTGAGATGAAAACAAGTCTGGCTTGGGGATCTTCATAATCCTTTTTATAGCTTTGTAAAGATTAGTTGGAACATATTATAAACAGCTTATGGCTGCATTATCATTTCCATGTGATTTCTGAGAATCTCTTAGGGTTACAGTGGCAAGGAAACTACCTAAACCACAGTGTGCCAGTGCCAAAGAAGCCACAGGCTGGGGGACTCTCCCAGTGCTTCATGTATCTCATCGGTACTTATGCTAGGATGGTCATGAATATGAATTGTATCAACAGCCACTTTTCTTTCTCAGGGAAAAGCAGAAGCATTTTCCCCCTCACATGGGGACTGTAGCTGATCGTATTCGCTTAGAGGTGAATGGGTGATGCTGACCCCTAGAAACTCATTTTATATTCTTATGGGCAGGTAATGTAACAATAATGGGCAGGAAATGTTCAACTGCAGTTGAACATTCCAAGTTTGTCCACCTTGGCCATGTTTACATAGTTTCATTTCCTCACGTCTCCTTTTAAAAATACAAATGGAATGTTTGAGGTGATTTACCCTTAGGATGTTTTACGTCATGAAACAGTATACAACTGTAACCTTCTGAAATAAGCAAGATATTTACCTGAAAACCTTGCTTCCGCTGGTACTTTCGCCTTTGCTGCATGTCAGCAAACGTAGCTGCTCCAGTTGGATAAGTATAGGCCATATGTGGTAGGAAGCTCATTTGATCTATTCCTGGGTATGGTCGTAGCCCAGGAATACTGGTCTGAACTGGTGGCATAAAAGTGGCTGGGGGAAATGCGCTCTGTGGCGGAAGTGTGGTGTACAAAGGTTTGGCACTAAAAGGGCTCATACCAAATAATGGATTAGTGCTTTTATCCAAACTATTTGAATTAGAAAATTCTTTCTTGATAAAAGTCAAGTTCAGTGGCTCATCTGAGGTTTCAGATGACGAAGAAACACTGTTGTGGTCTACGTTTACACTATTGGATTTTGTTTTGTTCTTTGTGGCTATAATACTTTTGGGTTCCTTCATTTGTTTTGGTAATGACAAGTCCAAAGGCTCAGCCTGAAGCTCCTCAGAGGAGAAACTGTTTGGAGTGTAAGAACTACTATGGGAGTTTTTAGAAGATGTAGAAGAAAGATTTAATGGAGAAGGAGTATTGCTCCTGGAGTGGTCCAATTTATCAACTGGTTTAATATTGGTAAAGTGAGTAGGTTTCGTTAGCCTGAGAGGGGTATCACAGTTAGTAACGCTATTATGAAGTTCAGCTATAGACGGTGATGTTATAGAGTCCACAGGCTTTATAGGGGATCTGGCTGACAAAGAGTCTTTAGTGGGCGTGTTGTTGGTGGCAGCCAGCACCACCTTGGCACTGTTCCTTTCCAGCGATGGTGACCTGGAAGTTGAGTACTGGTAGACTTTTCTTTGTTCGAACCATTCCTTCACAAATTCCTGAGGAAGGCCAACGGCAATGGAAATTTTCAGTAGTTCATCAGAGGTGGGTTCCATATTCATAGCAAAATATGCTTTAAGTACAGACATATGGTCCTTGTATGGATTGATGGGGCTAGTCATTCCTTTCTCAGAAAGTACTGATGACAGGAGGAGAGCTTGCTTATCGACAAACACTCCTGGTTTGCTAGGAGCCATGTTTTCATGAGGTTGGAGGACTGCCTTGATTTCTTCGTTCATCTTACACAGGTAACGTTCATGCTGATGAAGGGGAATGGGACCAGGAAAGCTTTCTTTACAGAACTGGCATGAAAATGGAGTAGGTATATTATGGTTGTCTATCATTTTGTCTTCAGTTACCAGATCTATTAGGGTGCGTAGCTTTTCTTTCTTAATGTTATTGAGCTGTCTCCTCGAGTCTGTAGTTAAACTCTGGAGACAAGCTTTGGCTTCATTGACCTTTTCTAATGTGTAGTCAATAATACTTTTAGTGGCACCATTATGACTGACTACTGGAAGACCCACAGGTGGAATACCAGGAGAAGTAACGCCTTGTTCCTCAGGTTGAGAACATGGGTCCTTCATGTGGTAACCTTTCAGCTTGGAGATTTCTTCAGCGCTGCAGTCCATTTTCTGCCTGGAAACAGTGTTGTCCACAATCTGTAGGACTTTCTGCACCTCACTTAAATTGCTGCCTATTGCTGGGAATCCAAGTAAAGATGCATCCATCCCTACCCCTAAGTGCTGCATTGGACTTTGCGTGGAAGTATGAACTCCTATTGGGCTGGTTGCACCAAGTCTGCCATTCATGAAAGGATTAGCACCAGTGAACCCATGGGTTGCCATCAGAACTTTATATTCATTGAAATCTAGTGGTTCCGTTTTGATTTTCAGTAAGCCTGATTGCTCAGACATACTAGGTGGTTTTCCATTCTCCAGCTTGTTTCTCAGTTGTGTAATGGCTGAATTAGTAGGTGAAGAAGATACAGAATTAGGAGAAGAACCCGTCTTGATATTGTTTCTCATTCGACCATTTACAGAGATTAAGCCAATGCATTTCTTGCTGCTGATGTGTGAACTATACGAGCCAGAATGGGAGAAACGCTTCTTGCAGTTTGGACACTCATAGGGCTTTTCACCTGCAATTAATTTTTAAAAATTAATTTTTAATAACTCACAAATAGACCAGTTCTTTAGACCATTTACTGTGTCTGCACATTTCACTCCTTTCATCTTGCTGCATTTTCTCTTTCCTTCCAAGTTATGTTTAGGTTTTTGTGACTGGAAACAATTCAAACTAGACAATCTACAATTAGCTGCATGCAAGATTCCTTCTCATCCTGTGATGCTCCCTAGCTTTTACTGATGGCTCACATTTTGTTGAAAGCTATAGATGTCTTTACAAGGGAAACAGAGAGTGTACTGTACTGTACTGTACTATGTAAAGGAATACAGCTGAAAACTTACATGTAATGCACAGTGTTTGCAATATCTAAATTCAGATAGCAGAAGGATTTTGCCATGGCTTTTAATAAGGACCCTGGCAACATGCAGTTACAACAGTAGCATAATTTTGTGTGAATTGGTTGGCATAGTAAATGGGGGACAAATATGACCCAGTTCACATTTGAATGCAAATTTAATGCAAATATACACTATCCAAAACAATATGTTGAACAGAAACACAGCGACTCATTAAAATTTGCACTTCTCCAAATTTTGCAATGCAGTTCTCCAGCAAAGCAATGTGTACAAAAATGCATATGTAAAGTGTGCATAAAAAGGCATATATTGGTGGAAATAACAAATACATTGTTTATGGGGGAATTACTGTAAAAAAATGTGTATCCTGAGAGAAATTCACACTAAAATGGTGGTGAATTTTCATGAGAACTTTTTTTTAGAAATTAAGCTTTAGAATAAATTATGGAAGTTCACTCATACTTGCTTATTCACTTTTAACGGTTTACTTCTAGAGGATCTATATGGATAATGGCAAGAGAACAGGAGACATGTATTTCTGGAAAGGACATTGAAGCACTCCAGTCTTGCTTCAGGCTCTCCATAGGTATCTGGTTGGTCACTGTGAGAACAGGATCCTGGACTAGGTGGGCAATTGGTTAGATCCAGTAGGGCTGTTCTTATGTTTTTTATTCCTCCTCTACTCTCATTTCCAGCCTAAAGCAGTGCTTCAACCACTTTCTGAATCTGTGTACATATATTTTTAGGTTTTACCCTAAGGCGGGGGCAGATAATTTTAATACAGGTTTTGGCAACTGTGAATGAATTTTGGGCTCATGTGCTCCCATTCCCCCTGCTTCTGCTCTCTTGACTCCTGTAAGGCTCTGTTTCCCTCCCTCTGTTCATAGCACAGTTAGCCATGATTGTTCAAATCAGGCAGATTATGGTTTGTGCAAACCATACTTTGCCTCCAAAGCAGAATGGGAAACCATAGTTTGAACTGAGTTTCTGATTTAGGTTTGGCGAGCTTTTCCCATTCAGGTGACATGACAAAATATTGTTTACAACTGAACCAGGGAACAGGAAAAATTCAAAAATGAAGGTTAGGAGGAGGGAGTGTGAGAACCCATTGCTGTCTCTTCCCCTTTTCTTGCTACTTTGGAATGAATCTACTTGAGTTCAGTAGCCACTAGTCTTTGAAGGATGTGAACTCTCCCCTCTCCTGTGATGGATAACCTTTGAGTCATGATCTGGATTGGCTACACAAAATATAAAGGCAGTTTTTCCACTCTCTGTCTCATGCTTGAATCCACTCCCCCCCCCCCAATTCCTGGGCTTGCATTAATTTAATTAACTTCTCAAATGGAACAAGACATTCCCCTCTCGTTCTTCCACATGTGCCCCCTGCCACCCCCAAATTTGCTCCAGGGGGCTGGGGGAACTCACAGAACAAATTTAGTGGGTGACTGTGAAAGAGGAGAGAAGAGGTAATGTACATAAGCCCAAAGTTCACCGCAACTAGTTATTATAGTGGGAAACTGTGGTTTGCTATTACAGCTGAGTTGAGCATTAAACATATTAAACTTCAGTTGGAGCATTAAACATAAGCTTAAATCCCTTCAGCTCAAATCAATGAAGTTTAGAAGTGCTTAACTATGAGATTGTACCCAAGGTTTGCAAATGCTGATCTACTAAACAAAAAACAAAGTTCACTGCGAGATTTTACATGCCTGCAGATTAGATAGCTTAAACATCAGAATTATTATATATAAGCAGAATAGACTTTAAAAAAAAAAACCTATGAAGAATGTATAATTACAGAAACTTATTCAGACTATTTTTTAGCTTTAAAATACTGCTTTTTTAGTCTTCGGTATATTTGTCTTTGTTTCTGATTTGCCTTTGAATTTATTTGAATAAATCAAAGTCTTTGAATACTTGACCAGCGTTAACAGCTTTACTCACAATGTCTGCATCAAAGGGTGAAGACTTTTAGCTGGAGGAGAACTCTAAATATTATTATTCAAATATTGACAAGTTCCAAATATAAGGCAAAGTGTTGCCCTATTTTCTCGCTGTCATGTGTAACTGAATGACTTAATGCACTCAGCAGAGGTTATTTATTTCAACGAAGGGGATTGAATTAGGAACACAAAATTATATTTTTAATTGATGTGATAGCCGATGCAGGCCAGAAAGGCAGGGTATAAATATTGTAAATGGATATATAAAGTGGCTAGTGTGTTCAGCTTGGATGTGGACAACACAACTTCGAGGTCAGACAGGCCACTTCACACATTATGTGGCAACAATCTCATGTTGGCCATTAAGTGCATCTTTATTGGGAAGCTGCAGCCAATCTGAGATCTCTGGCAAAGATACCTCAATGTTTGTTGCTTGTTGTGACATCCAGCTGTGATGGTATAGATGTCCACTTACACAACTGGGGAGGTGGGGAGTTAGAGGAAGAGGAAGTCCTGTTGCACAAACTTAATTCTGCTCACCTGACACTGGATTTTGCGGAATGTTTTACAGGTACTTAAAAGTACAGTGTATGAAGAAGCTATGAAGCTCACCATGTGTGATGCCATGTCACTATCTCTCAGCTCAACTTATGCTTGGGAGGCTAAACCAGACGTCAGCAAACTTCTTCAGCAGGGGGCCGGTCCACTGTCCCTCAGACCTTGTGGGGGGCCGGACTACATAATATGAATGAGGCAGCCATTCCAAGTAAGCGAGCTTAATTTGTTTATTGCTGCTGGATTGTGGGTGTTGGTCTTGTTCATCTTTAAGGTTCCTTATTTTTGTTTTGTTTTTGTTTTTTTAGGAAAGTGTATCACAAATAAGAAAACCTAAGAGCCAAATGGCTAGGAATTCCTAGAATTCCTCTGAGTAGAAATAGCTCCAGGAAAGCAATTTAGAACTTAATTAATTAATCAGGTAATACATTCTGCTATTTGGAAAATCATCTATGGAAACTTGTGGTGCTGGTTTCTTATTTGTTTCTGAAATAGCATGAAAAATGAGGATGAGTCAGAAATCATTTACAAAGTATCTTGGCGGCTCTAAAGAAAATGGTGAAGATACTAAGCTTATTTAAAAAACAAAAACTCGGCTAATTAAACAAAATGCAAATGAGAACCCTGGCACCTCAGCTACTCACCACTGTGGATTCGCAGGTGTTCCTTCAGATGGTGCTTGTATTTGAAGGCCTTGCCACACTCTGTGCACTTGAACTTACGATTGCCTGCTCCTTGGGTCAGCATTTGGTGCTGGGAGAGTAAAGACACCAGCATGAATTTTATGCAAATAGATATCTGTATATGTAGAGGTATGAATTTGTCTCTCTCTCTGTGTGTATTACCAGCATGAATTTTATATACAAATATATCAATATCTATATTTGCGTATATCTGTGTATGCATATATGTGTGTGTGTGTGCGCGCATGCGCACGCATTTGTGTGTAGAAAGAGAGAGAGAGAGAGAAAGGTTTCCTTTTAAGAAAAAAATTAATTAAAGCAGTTTTGTATTTATCTGTCAGCCTAAAAGATCTGCATGCACATTTATTTGCCTCATCAGTGCTGCCATAAAAATCAAAATGTTGGCAGTAAACCTGAAGGAAATCTGAATTCACTTGGAGCATTTGCTTTGGAATTATTTCTTAAGTCTTTCATCGGCAGCACAATATATTAAGGCATGCAGTGCTGCAAGGAATGGATTTGTTAATTTTTAAAAGAAATTGAGGCTTTTAATATTCTTAGCTGATCATATTGTCAATTCACAACTTGCAGCATTTTTTTTAAAAAAACCATATATTTGCAGTGCTTCTGAACCCTTTAGCATTGTGATGATAAGCAAGCTTTGTTTTATCAAATGCAAGAGGCGGTCACTGCTGGGAGGGAAAGTCCTGATCAGAGAATTAAACTAATTCTTTCTTCCCCCCCCCCTCCTTCAGAGCAATGGGGCAAAAACAAGAAGGAAAAGTTGGCAGAAAGGACGAGTTAAAAAGCAGCATAAAGATAGGATCAAACACAGCTGACCTTTCTGAACAAGTGAGAAAAGTGCTGTGACTTTGAATTCTGATTTTAAAAAGGGGGAAGGAAAAAAAGCTGCAGTCATCTAGTCTGGATGTTCAAGGTAGGAGGTCAGCCTCCTCCCCCCCCCCCCCACTCCCCCTTTTCTCCCAAGCAGCAATGACACAAAAGCCTATTGCAGAAAAGACAGCACAGAAACGGTATGACAACTGCTAGGGTGTGCTGAATCTTCCCACATTCCTAGTGAGACAGATGGTGTTACATGGGACACAGGGAGGGTTGTTCAAACAGCAGCAACCTTCAAAGATCAAGCAGAGCCCAGCCCGCGGAGCGCCATTGAGGGACCAGTGCTCATATGTTGCTGAGTTGCATAAACAAACAGCAACAGCTGCTTTGTCTCCCCCCACAGCCCTCAGAGGACTACTATAAACTTTAGTTGTGCCACTGTTAATATGATACAATCATTTTAATTTACTAATTGTAAATGCCATGAGCAAATGAGGGGACTTTTCAACACCAAAGCTACCATTCGTAATGCGCCAGCACAATCACACTCTTGCATGTGAAATTTAAGGCAGTTATTCTGGATAAATATCCAGCCACACGCCCCCCTCCCCTTCCAGTAGTGTTTTGATAGTCAAAAGCAATAGGGAAGGAGAGGAAAAGCCACTCTTGTCTCCCATTTTGTCAGAAAGGGGGGAAAGTTACAGATTAACAACTCGCTTTGCTCTTTAAAATGAAATGTTATGATAAATCCTGTCAGAATTGTATTTTATCGATTACAGAGATCAAGTGAGAAACAGTGAACTAATTACCAAACTGCTTGATTAGAAGGTGAGCATGATACATGTTTGTTTAATTAAGCACGTCTTTTATTGAAAAAATGCCTGTCATGATAAATCTAAATCAGTATGACTTCTCATTCTTTAGAATAAAAACTATTGGTATCATTCTCATAGTAAGGGAATGGAATGTAGTTTAAGATCTGCCATTTGGATTTCCATTGCAACGTCATTATAGAAGTTTTAAGCAGGAATTCAAAAGACACATTCAATTTGATTAAATCTAATGCATCAAGGAATCATTTTGATTTACAGGAGATTTGCTGCTGGGGTGTGTAGATTTCAGGAATAGTGTATTCCTAAAGTGATCACAAGTTATTAGAAGAGCCATAAAGCACACAGATACACGCAACAAGATTAACTAAAAAATATGAACCTATTCGTATGAACTGCATGAAAAACAGATACAGGGCTCCATAAAAAGTAATGAATGACAGAAAATAAGATTAGCAGATTCCTGAGATGTCTTTGAGATCCTATGTGGGGGGAAATGCAGTGCAAAACTAGGTGAAAAATGGAGATAAAATTGCTGAGATGTTTAATAATGTATAATTAAAATGCCACAATTTCATTCACATTTTGAGGAACATAAAAAAATGAAACTAAAGTCAAGTTAAAGTGCAAATAAAATTTCTAAATTAGAAATTAACACACTCATTCGATCGTGAACATAAGACTATTAAATCATATTAGAAGAGACCATCAAAAAATCATTTAGGCCTCAATTAAAGCTATTACCATTAAAAGATCTGCATCTTCAAAATGCCATGAAAAATTAATAATGATTGCCAATCAAAGCAATATCATTTCTCTAAGGGGTTATTATAGAAAGAAATCACTTAAAACAAGCCCCCCCACCTGATCTGTCCCTGGCTTGTGCGTCACCATATGCCGCTCGAGCTGGGTGCGGTAAGCGAATGTGTAGTTGCAAAGAGGGCAAGGGAAGTTCTCTTCGTTCTTCTCATGGCGGTACTTGATGTGCTCCTTCAGTGATGTCAAGCGCTTGTAGCCCCGGTCACAGTAGGGGCAGGTCAGCAGTTGGGCAAAAGCATCTGGAGTTCCAGGTGGCAGGTCTGTAGCCCAAGAGACGTGAGAGAAAGAAGCAGGCCAAAAGGTCAGTAAATCAATGGCAGTTAATGGGCTTATTGCCCAGGATGGATTGACAAGAATCACCGCAATCTGCCTACAGTGGAATATCCGTGATATCTACCTTGCTTGCAAAACCACATCAATCAACTTTTTACACGCTCAGGGCAAACTTGTATGAATCATAAGAAAATTAATTCAAAACTTTCGGCTGGCTTATTGTGAGACTACAATAGCTTGTGGGGGGGGAAGGGGTGGAAAATGTTGGGGTTTTTCTTTCTTTCTCTGATTTATTGATGCTGTGCACTTAATTACCAGTCTGTTGTCTCCAAACACAACACCATCTAGTTCCATCTTCACGGATGCTTTTTCAATTACTTATTAAGGACTTAACAGAATCAGTTAGTAATCCTCAATTTGTCCTGTAAAAAAATTCAATCATTCCCAAACTAAAATTAGAGCAAGGACGCTGCTCCTTTAAAAACATAACCCTTAATTGTCCCTGCTATTTATTTCACCTACAGAAGAGTCTCAATTTGCTGACTAAAAAAGCAATCACAATATGCTGAAATTACAGTCCCATCTTTGCTCGTGAAATTCCATGCTTCTGCAGCTGTTCTTCAATTTTAAGGTAAACACCCAGGCATGTAGTGCATTTATAATTGCAACAGCTGCAAGAGGTCAGAAGAGTGGCTAAAAATGAATTCCATCCTCACCATTTTCTTCTTGCCCATTGGCCTCTGGAGTGCCAAGACGAGACAGTTCCTCGGGGGCTTCCGGGTAAATAATGGCTGTATCACTGCGTTGTAGGTACTCCGCTATACTGACTGAGTGTCCATCTCCTTCATCCACTTTCCTCTTAGCAAAATATTCCTCAAAGTCCGACGTGCAATTTGCATTCTTAACTATAATAGAAAAGGGATTGGGGGGAGGGGGAGAGAAATAGTTTTGTGGAGGATTTATATGTTTGGCTACACAGTGGTATTGAAGATGGTGTACATTTACTTTATGAGCCTAATCCTGTGGCTACCCATACTTCCACATAGCTCATTTCTCCTGCCAATAAAATCACTGGCTGGTGATTTTGTAAGAGAATACATTTGGCAAAGTCACTGATGACACCATTCATTAATGAAAGATGGCAGGAGCCAATGCATGTGCCCTCCTCCTTTCCTCATAAAAAAGGGAGGGGTGCAATATTGTATGCTGTCTGTGCACAGAATCTGAAAAGGCAACATGTTAGACTTTCATGCATTTTGGAATTCTGGTGTAATTCAATGATATCTTACAAAAACGATTCCTGAAATAAATTGCAACCAGTGGGAGCAATTCTAATCTCTGTCCTTTGGTATTCTGAGACCACAGTCTTATATTGTTATCTGAACTTCATGATAGGTGGACTAAGGAGTTAGCCTGCTTTTGGATATCCTCAAACCCTATGGTTTGGATTTGGAGGTTATAAATGCTTATTACGTATCAGGAGATTGCTATAGATCATCTGCCAAACCTTCTGTCCTTTGGTCTCTGAGACTACTGTCAGACACCATTTCATGGACACAGAAATATATATTTTTTTCAGTGCTGGTTATTGGGCATTGGGATAAGGAAGACCATAAGAATAATGGGGGGGGGGGAGTATGATAAGCAAGCTTGCATATAGACTAATGGACCTTTTTCTGATCAGGAAACTAGAATTCTGAACTGGTCAGGATTCTAGCCCAATGACTTTTCTCTGAAATACATAACATTCTTGGAGAAGCAACATCCTCTCCCCCAACCACCTCAAAAAGGAACCATTGTTACTTAAATAATGTGATGTTGGAATGATTTTACAAATATTACTATTTAGTTCTGGAACATAGTTATGTGAGGTAGGCCCTAAAAACAGTGAAGTTTTCATTTTCTTTCTCATTAAAACATAACATTTGTTGTTTTTTTATTGCCTGTGCAATGTCCATGGGGGAAAAATCCTCTGAACCACAAAGCATCCTCTTGCTAAAATAAATCATTTTCCTTTCTTCCTTTCTGAACATTAGATGCAGGAATAATTCAGTAAAGCCTATGATATTGTAGAAAAGTATTAATCCAACTGTATAGGAGACCTCACATTCAATCCATTGCTCAGTACGTTTGTTTAAGACCACCAATGTCAAAGGGACTTAAGCATGTAAACTCAGAGCAGAATTATAGCTAAAACAGATTTTGAATTGTGTTTTCAATTATGTATTGAAAAGTACCTCTTCAGCACACATACAGTTTAAGACTTTTACTGACACTCACTTTTTATTGTCCATACGTATTCAGACTTTGATACATTTATTTGAGTAGGTCAGGTTACAAACTCAGCACCAAGGTGATTAAAATATTTTCTCTCATTAAGCAACGAAAATAGAGATCAAGTTGATTCTGCTCCCTCTTACAACAGCATAAATCAGCAGTATCTACCCTAAAATCAATGGGGTTGGATTGATAATTATAGAGTGACAGAAGCACTAGATTTACATCATTGTAACTTAGACTGTGGGAGGAAACCAACACACAGGGTTACTGAAATATTTAGCATCTTTGCCTCAAGGCAACAGATAAAGGAGAAAATCCATTATGGTGCCATAGGTGGTCAATGGTGCTAGCATAAAATCAACTCACACCTCTGTTTGCTTCATAGTAAAATCTTACAGTATTTTATGTACAAAAATAGGTTATGGAAAAATCATTTTATTACAAAATCTAAAGGAAATACCTAATTCTGCAAGGGAGGGAAATGGTCCAGTAAAATATATAGTTTGAAACTACTAAATCCCAGGAGATGCCTTAATATCATTTACAGAAGGAAGCAATTCTGGCAATAGCCTCATAGATGTTGTTAATAAAAATGTTCCAGTTCCTGTCAATATGCAACATCTTTCTTCAATGCACAACCTGCTGAGCTCAAGTTTAACACACTCTCTCTCTCTCTCTCTCTTCCTCAGAAATAGGTCATGATAAAGATGAATGAACTAGATAGGCAAAAATAAGAATCAAAAGAAGAAGGGTGATAGCCCTGAAAACAGGTGCTCCCATATTTATAAAGTTCTGAAATGGCTCATGAAACTAGAGGTCAAACTTCAGAATACTACTGGGGGAGTGGGAGGGGCGGAGATATTATTAGGAAGTAGCATGCCCTGACCAGCTAGCTACCTAGCTAAAAAGGTAAAGGTAAAGGACCCCTGACAGTTAAGTCCAGTCGCAGACGACTCTGGGGTTGTGGTGCTCATCTCACTTTACAGGCCAAAGGAGCCGGCGTTTGTCTGCAGACAGTTTTTTCCAGGTCATGTGGCCTGCATGACTAAGCCGCTTCTGGTGCAACAGATCACCGAAACCAGAGCAGTGCACGAAAATGCCGCTTACCTTCCCGCCGTGTTGGTACCTATTTATCTACTTGCACTGCCATACTTTTGAACTGCTAGGTTGGCAGGAGCTGGGACCAAGTAATGGGAGCTCACCCCATCACGGGGATTCAAACCGCTGACCTTCTGATCAGCAAGCCCAAGAGGCTCAGTGGTTTAGACCACAGCGCCACCCGCGTTCCAATACCTAAATACCTTAGTTCTTTTATGATGCTATTCATACTTTGGGTCACTACCATATGCCCTTGGCAGTGAGTTTAAGAGAATTATATTAAAAACATAACAAAACAAAACATAAAACAGATCCTTAGATATTTACCCCTTAACTATGTCATATGTTGTCTAGAATCCAAATATCCTCACACCTAGTTCTGCACATGCAAGGACATTTTTGACTTGTGTTTCAGTGGCACAGTTAGGTAACGTTAGACTCTGGACTTAATGGGATTACCCTTCCCTTATGGTAATGCAACCCTGCTTCTACTCGGTGTCCCTCTTGCACATTCTGCCTCATTCTTGATGTCTGTTCCCAAGTCCTGCTCTGACTGCACCACTGTGACCCTTGAACAGCCGCCGCTTCTCCTAATGCAGGTCAATGCACTTTTGAAGCAGAAAGAAGTTTTAAAAACAGCTTTCAATAGTTCAAAGGGGCTTGCGAAACAAAGTTGTAGTGTGTCTATGCAAGAGGAATATTCCTGTCCAGGGGTCCGTCCAGCCAGCCTAGAACAGGAGCCTAAAGCTCTGCTCAGGCCTCTCAGGAGAAGCATAAAGGAAACCGTGTGTTGAAATCTTTTGTTACTTTCCTGGAAGTAGCGGTCATATTTTCTACAAACTTCCATGCAAGCAAAACTGGCCCTGCCCATCAAGATGATGACCGGTTTGCCAGATGTAGGAAGCCTACAGAGAGGATAAAGTTTGCTCTGAATTTTGCAGAAACCACCTACCATTTTGCCATGTGCTTCAGAATATAGGACCAAATCAATTTTTATATTTTCATTAGAATGCCTTTCCTGTGGCCTTTTCCCATGCTCTCTTCTATCTGCTGGATTTCTTTCTTTGGGCCTGTTTATGTGTGCTTTAACGCCTATACAACTACCACTGTCTCCTCTAATTCACTGGGTATGTGACTGAAGTAACTGTTGGATCCCAGCCATATTCAGGTAGCCATCAGTCACACTGAGAGTGACTGTGGAATAGAGAGTGAATGATAAAGACCATTCAGCATGTTGAAATCTGTGAATATCAGGTTCTTGTATTGCCAAACACTGTCTTTTTTCAGTGTTGATATACATTTAATGGAAATAAACTCGGGTGTGCCTGGGCAAGTCAAATAGCTTTTTTTTTGTTGTGCTGGCTATCTATCATTATATATTCCTGAAGTATATGCCTTCTTCTAATGTTTCAAAACATATTTTCTTAAGGAAAGAAACATTCTGGTTAAATAGGGGGGATGGTATTTTAAAAAATGAATATATAGTTTGGATTGGAGGTGAGTTGTGAATTACTGGGTAGAATATTGACAGCGATATGGAAGAAATATCCGGAAAAATGTTCATATAAATTATAATTGGTTTCTGCTGGAAAGTAGGGAGTTACAGAATGAAGACTGAAAATGGTAGACAGCAAATTGAACAGGAAAATATTGTGGTTGGTGTTCTTGCCAGAAGTCCATCTCTGGGCCAATGGCCATATTGTAAAACTACTAAAACCAGTTCAGACCATAGGAACATTACTCAAGCACTGCAAGCTTATAGCCGAACATAACTGTTTAGAATAACGGTTCCAGAAATTTTTACAGCATTAAAACACAAATTGGAACGAGGCTTATTAAAAGCTGCTGCTTTTGTCACTATTATCTCAAACATACCATTACGGTCACTACCTAAAGTTAATTCTTCCTTTGCTCCTAGTAATATACTAGATCCTATGGATGGTTGGTCAGCTTTCTCAAACAGGCCTACAAACAGTTTTGAATGCTGGTTTTGTACAGGAGGCTATAATTGTCTCCTTTGATACTAAATGTTTCTGAGGTGCATTATTCAGTTTCCCTGTGCATTAAAGGAATTCAGGAGCTAAGGCAAATGTTTATGTCTAAGTTATAAACCTTTGAAACAACGGGATTTACTAGGGAGCTGACAGATCCTTAACTGAAACAACGTTAACAGTGTGATTATGTATTAAAGATTAATATAAATAGCAAGTGCCATCTGAATGCAGATCAGGCAATTCAAAGTTTCTCTTATGTTACTGACAAGAATTTGGCCATCATTAGAATAATTGATCAGGGTTACAAACAAACAAAATGTGACTGCAAATGAATTTTATGTAAAACTTTATGCCTCACATTTTTTCCACTTAAAAAAAGAGAAAGAAATTCAAGTGGCTTACAAATTAAAACATCATGCAATATATTATGGGATGTGACTCCTCAAAACAGAACAATTCATATACCCACTAGCATAGTGATAACATGGCAAATCAAGAAAAAGTCAATAAGTGGAAATAATTCATAAAAGAAACACATCTCAGAAGGGCACACCACAAAATGAGTGCCAGTGCAGAAAAGGCCCTGCTCCTGGGAGCTATCTATCGTGCCTCATGCAGGCAAGGAATCTGGAGCAAGGCTTCAGATGTGGAACAGAGCATGAGACAAGGAAGATGCCCAGGTCCCGGGCTGTTTAGGCCTTTGAAGATAATAAATCATAATAATAAACTTTTATTTATATCCCGCCCTCCCCAGCCGAAGATGAAAAGCAGCACCTTGAACCAAGCCCAGAAACAAACTGGCAATTAGTACGTATCACACAAAACAGGCATTAATATGTTCTGACTGCTCTGCTCCATTCCGCATGAGCATTTTGCACCAGCTGAAGTTTCCAGACACTTTTCAAGGACAGCCCCGTGCAAAGCACATTATACTCTAATCTGGAGGTAACTACGTCATTAACTGTGGCAAGGTCTAACTTCATCAGGAAACACTGTGGTTGGAAAACCAGCCAAAGCTAGCACAAATTCTTGTGATCATCCCTTGCTCTACCCCCCCCCCAACTAATGTCTCTTGAAAGGACAGAGAATTTCCCCTTATATGCCCTCTGCATGATTTCTATGCCTATAGCCTCACACATTGATTCCTAGTGAATTTAAATTGCAAACAGAAATCACACTCCCATCTGTGAGTCAAGCTTTTTAGGAAGATGTAGAGTGAGTGACCTCACTAAGGAAGTCTTGTTTTAATTAAGGACTAGGGCAGGGACTCCTTAAAGCCTGAGGTAGCATAACATCATATGAGCATAAACCACACTAAGGAAAAGAGATATTTAAAGGAGACACTCGAGAGCATAGGAGGCCAGTTATTTCTTGTGGGAACTCTTGCTGTAAGATGGAGATAGCTGCTCCTAATCGGCAACAAAGCTAATAAAACCACAGCCTTCATTAAGCAGGAAGTGGCAGGTCCTCATTGGTACATGCAGATTAGAGTCTCAAAGCGATCAGTCCTTTCAACTTGCCAACTTTTACTTCTGTTTTTCTTTGCAGAGAACTCTTTTCCTACCTTTTTTTTTTAAAAATGCAGTCTCAGCAAAACGTATTTGTCTGTGGCTATTACTGGGTAAGGGTAAGCAGATTTTGTTTATCTACAGGGAATGCATTCATCCATTTCCTCAAAATAGCTATAAGGATGCAAAGTCTCAAAGCCACGCTGGGCTGAAGTGGTGCCAGTTTTACCTGTGTGAAAGTACACAAAATTAATTGCTCAATTTTGGTATAACTGGCCATGATTATGAATCATCACCACCATTTTGTGGTTGCATGCGAAATATTCTTGTAGTATCAGCCTAGTTTTTAAGTAGACAGATTCTCACACTTCAGAAGCTACTCTCTTACTGGTACCAATGCCAGCATTAATAGCCTTGTGGAACACCTGGTGAGACGGAATTACAACTGGAATCTGATAGAAATCTTTTTTATTTCCTGTAGGCTGAGGTACAAAATACTGAAATCTGCTCTCTCTGCTGGATATGCATTGGTACCCACCACTCAAACTGAAAGTCTCAGTAAACATTGTGGCCTAATTTTGCAGTTAGATAGGATTCAAACATCACAGTTTCCACTTACAGTGGATGATGCTAATGGCAGCTGGTACTGGCATGGAGATTATCCATGCATCTGAACCACTGAAATGTGGCGCTGAGATCACATGGAAGTGTCGGGAGCATGGTGTGAAACTCTTAAGTTGAGACTCTTAAGAAGTCTTTACCATGAACCTTAATATAAATAGCCAACTTTACTTCTGAATGTAAATATTTTAAAATACAATATTACTAATGCTACATTACCACATGTTTTTTGCTTTTTTAAAAAAAGAAAAATAATGACTGAGAAACAAAATATTTTAGGGGTTTGGGGGCAGAGGGACACTGATCTTCTGTTGCCACTGTCCTTTTCGGAAGTTGAGTTAAATGGACCTTGTTAGGTGAATGGCAAAGACAGTCGCAGGTGGGTTCTACAGGTTGGAGGGTATTCTACAGGTAGGAAGGTATTCTCCAGATGTCCATCATTGGAAGATTTTCAATTTTTGACACTGAAAGGGTGGCAGAGACAAGTTGTACTGTTCAGATTTTGGCTAGGCATTAAGCTCTACATTTATGCAGGGCTATGTGGATTGACTTTGGGTGTTGTGAGGTTTGTAGGGAGGAGAAAATGGTTGATCATGCTATATGAGATTGTGGTAGTGTATATGAAAGACAGACAGCCTGCCCTCCATAGCTTTAGTGATTTGGTTCTTACAAATTTGCCTATTGTGGGGCTGCCCTCCGGGACAAGAATCTCTGGGGCTCAGTGTTGGAGAATTTGCGGCACTTTGTGACATCTGCAAGGCTCTTTAAAAGGTTGTGAGTGGAGTGGAATCATACTGTTGCCAGTACATGGTGTTAACAAGGCCTGTCCTTGGCCTTGCTACACACCATTAAATCCCGAGAAGAATAAAAAATAATTTTTCAGTACAGTATAGATGTTTTGATGTTCCTCTTTGTAATACATAACTAATGAAAATGTGACCTCATTTTACTTTACGGATTACCCGCCAGTATATAAGACTAATATACAAAAGATAGAAACACATGCACTCACACACCAGCATGGATTAATTTTTCCATTATTTCCCCCCATAAGAATTAGGCAAGTCAGTTTGTTGCGATGTCTAATAAGAACATGTGGGTGTGTACCAGCATTAGAGATGTGTGAGTAATAAAATCCTTGTAGCATTTGGGTGCCACCCTACTTAACAGCATTGCTAGTGGGCACTAAGAATCAAATATCATAATGGAACATGAAAACAGCTTATTTAGGATGGAAACTACAGTAAGGAGAATATGGAATAATGGTCTTGTCTCACTGGAAAAAGTTCCTTTGCTTCCATTTTCACAAAGTTAAGGTGCTTGGTCTTTCCTCACTGGCGAGGCATGTTTGCGACATCTTTATAGATCAGAACTGTATCAGGTTCTTAACGCTAGGACCATGGACAGAACTTTGCCAAATACAGGTATCCCTCACAAGGAGGAATAGTTGAGACACAGTCCTACAACTGTAGGCTACCTGTGAAGAAACCAGTCCCCTTAATCAAATGGAAAGCAGCTTGAACACACTGAACTATCAAGATTGGAGAAAAACCCATTTTATTCTGGAGGTTTCAGCAAAGCATTAAAGAGATGGCTTAGAAACAATGCATCTTTTGTATCAGTGTTACTTTCTTTTCATCTACACACGGTAGATTTCTGAGAAGAGGAGTGAAGAATGAGTTAAGGAAAGTGAAAAAAAAGTTTCAGTGGTCTGAAGTATGCACCCAATAAAACGTGGGTTTGGTATTGATACAAAAAGTGCACCCATTATGATTATAAAGATATTTGTACAGATCCTGTCACAAAAAAATTCCAGCTACATTAAACTCCAGCATAATCACCTGTATGGGGGGGAAATACCACTCTTTACAGTGCTGGAATCTATTAACTCCCAAGGATGCTGTCACATTAAATGAGGGGTAGATGGAGGCAGGAAAATATACTTTTCATCAAACACAAAAGAAACTATCCTAGTCACATAGATCTCCGCAGAAATGTTCCCAGAAACTGCAGTGAGATCAAGGCTGCATCAATGGTTTGTATCAAAGTGAAACAATCAGGGAAATGTACATGTAATTAGCAATATCTCAAACTTTCATCTAGAAAAGTGGACTAGTGTACCTGGCTTATTCTTTCAGTTTGCAAAACAAACAAAAATAATCAAAGGCAATAGGAAACTAGAGAAGTTTGTATAGGTCTGCCCTTACCTGTTCCGTTGTTTCCAGTGGTCTGAATTGCAGCTTCAGGCCCCATGGTGTCATACTCTTCCTTCATTTCTTCTGTAATACAGGAATGGACATTTTCAGTGGACAGAATAGCCTTACTAAAACAGCAAGCAAATGGCAGCAACAAGGATGATTCTTTCAACAAAAGCACAGAACACCCCGCTTGTAAATCTCAGCACAATGGCTTTGTTCAGGCTGTTTCATGAATTTGATCATGTAATCTGAATTCTAAGGACTGGTCTGGACAATATGGGCTTCCTCCATGTGAGCAGCCCCTGTTGTTACTGGGTATACATTTGTGCAGACTGGGTATACATTTGTGCAGACAAACACAAGAATTAGCTGGACTGTTAAGAGATGCGTTAAGAGAAGTGTTATTCCCGCAGTTCAGTTTCTCCAGGCAATCACATGCCAAAGGAAGAACCAAAGCTCAGTTGTAGAGCAAGTGTTTTGCATGAAGAAAGTCCCAGGTTTAATCCCTAGCATCACCAGGTTTAAGGTTGGGGAAGGCCCTGTCTGAAACCCTCGAGAGCAGCTGCCAGGCAGTGTCAACAGTCTGTGACTTGGTATATAAGGCAGCTTCCTATAAGAGACCTGGCCCTGAGTTAATTACTTAAAATCCTATAAATAACAAGGAATACCTGAGGCTTTAGACACCAATGTGCTGATCTCTGGGACAGTGGTCCAACATTCCCCCCCCCACCTGAACTATTCACTTAAAGGAGGCACAGGGAAGTTACCTGAAATGGCAGCAAATACGAGAAAATTCTTAATGGGTAATTTGTACAGCTGGCGTGGTAATGTGGCTAGAATATAACTGGGGGCACCTAGGTTCAAATTTCCTCTCGGCCATGAAGGTCACTTGATGACTTTGGGTCAGCCTCTCAGTCTAACCTATCTCACAGATGCCACATGTGGGGAGGGGGGGGGGAGAAGAGGCAAGTGTATTGCTCTGAGCTCTTTGGAAGGGTGGAATAAAAATAAATATATTTTCAGCCTACACTTTCAAAAGATTGTTTTGAACTTATTTTGCTCTTGCCTGTTGTTAACTTGGGATAACTCGGCTTCTTGCTCTACTTCAATCACTCTCAGGAATCACAATAAACAATATGACGTGTAAATTGATAGCTCCTGGGTTTTAGCTGCAGCAGTTTCATGAACTTTCCCCCATTCTACAAATTTTTTTTGCAGCTGATGGTTGCATTGATCATGTGAAGTAATTATTCCCAAGGATGAAAAAGGTGACACCAAAAGTTACAATATTAAATGGTTCTTGGACCAATGGCTTCAGCAATTTGTCAGTGAACAAGACGAAAGAAATGGTTATTTTACTACATCATCAACCACTACTTTCAGGGAAGATGTAGAATGTGTTGAGTTTCAGAATGGGAGGGTAACTACAACTTTGCCACTAGCATTACAAGAGTCCCTTTTGAAATCATTCTGATGTGGTGATATCTGCATCAAAATATGTATCTATAATACAAGCACAGTAATAGCACAGCAGGTCTTCAGGTTACGTTGTCAGCTGTGTATAATGTGTCTCCAGCTGGCAGGTAAATTCCAGGATGGTATTATTCTAAAATAATTCCCATCTCCAAATCATTGCAAAACAGAATGCATAAAACTAACTCTCCTGGTATGTCTTGACTCAATTATCTTCCACGTCTGAATTCTGCATCCATATGTCTGCTGGTAAGGAGAACGGCAATACGGGACTCGAATGCTATGTGTGAACAGGGAATAAATGAGGTCTAAAACATTTTTTCCAAGTTAATATAACAAAGAAGTGGAACTTGTAAATGGGTAAATCCAAAAAAGGACCTAAGCAGACATTATCTGGTTAGGCAGTCTAGGGATAATGACTGAATTCCTGATACATAGAACTTAAAAATGCTCAGTGCTTTTTTTCCAGGGGGTACTCATGGGTTTGCAGTACCAGCACCTCTTTTTTTAGTTGTTAAATAGTGTGGCACTTACTGTAGCAACTTCATAGTGAGTACCAACACCTATTTCTCTAGAAAAAAAGCACTGAAAATGCTTAGTGTTGGGATTGTTAGTTTGGGTCCCCCCCCCCCAAATAAAGAGTTTGATGTGGATATAAAATGGTACACCATCAATCAATTTCTGCAACAAATGTTGCAAGGAAGAAGGCGAGGAGTACAAACTTCATTCTGAGATTTGCAATCCTACGGTATTATTTATGTGTTCCATTCTTGTGAGTAATTAGCTGATTGAATAACAGGATCTAATTGTGTCATTTTAATCAAAACTAAAGCTAAGCTGACTTATTTCAAAGTTTTACAACCAGAATATGAGATGGAGCTATAAATATGCATTTTATTGTTTTGTAGCTTAAAATAAAAACATCCCAAGTTAAAATATTCCTGCAAAAACTGCCGATAATTTCTTCAAACTATATAGTTTACAGTGATTTGGCACTTTGTCTCCTCCATAGAACATTTTTACAGGATATCTTGATTCCAAAAACCTTTAGGAAAATCCATATACATTGATAAAAAGTTGTCAGCTGTGATACACAGTATTTCTTGTGGCAGCTTACTAGGAAGCTGGATGGTACTGCACTTGTGAGAGGTTTAGTGCTGGATATAAATATAGCTTGTGTGGATTTTTTCCCCCCTTCCTTGATCAGCTCATGTGATTTCTGGTAGAAAGGAGTCACAAGTTTGTTTCCATCTGAGGGCACATCTACCCAGTCACTAAGGGGGGAAAAACACATTTTCTTATTTTTTTGCATAATAGTGGTGATGCTAAGATTTCGGCTGCATTTCCTTCCTCATTGTAATGTTCTGCTGCAGTACAGAAAAGTTACATTATGATCGAGCTGCTTCCCAAAACCCAATAAATAGGCAAATACAGAGAATGCTCTTCTTGTTTTTGTGCAGGTCACAAAAGTACATCATGTATTTTGGGGCAAATGTGCCTTTCAAAATCCTTTTTTTTTTTTTTTTTTTTTTTTTGCTGATCATCTCCAAATTCTGTACCAGTAAAAAAAAAAAAAAGCATTAATTTCAATGTGCTTTTATCTAGGCATGCTTTTTGTAGAAAGCAAATCTTACTTCACACCCCTTCAAGTCACAGAGAAACTCTTCCTGAACAGAATTCTGCATCCTCTTTCTGAGGCAACAATATTTTTCAAAGATCAACTATGTGAGCTTGTTTCTGATTTCACCAATACTGTACTCAAGTATACAGGAAACATCACAAACAATGATTAAAAAATCAGCAGCAAAGGGATGAAAAACCCAGCTTGCTGTGTTCGGATGTATCAAATAAATCTAAGAGTACGAGAGCTTACATTTATTTAATTTTTACTGATAGCAACAAAAGTTTGAGCAGATTTACCTTTTTGCACAGCACCTAAGTTTTGCAGACTACATCTGACTGTGAGCAACGTGCCTTCCTAAGAACCCCAGAGTATATTTATTTTGAAAACACTTGTAAAAGTTTGCATTTTCCAGCCACCCCTGGGATAAAGGTTTGTAAAAATAAAGAGCACTTTCTTCCTCGAGATGAAGAATCCTTGAATAAGCAGAAAGAGGCCAAGATGCAGGTGATTTATTTAAGTCTGTGTCAGTGATAATGATGTCATGGCTTCCAGCACACTGTGTCCACCCCATTGTGGGACGAAAGAATGTCAAGGACAATTCTAAACACAAAACTTTGATTGTGCTGAAACCGGAAAGGCACAGTTAGAACTCCACTGCGCTCTTCAGTTCAAAACCTGCATCCTGCAGGCAAAACTACAGAAAGCATGGGAGAAAGAGCAAGGCAGAAGGGGCTTATCTCAGAGTAAAGCTATGTGCTGAGGTACTGCGGTAGACAGTCAGGCACCAGGGATAAAACACAACTGAATAAGGCAGCCCCCAAATTAGAGTTATTGTCTATATTGTGCGTTTTGAACAATAAATAAGAAAAATATTTTATCACGAGAAAAAGTGTGTTATCTAAGAGTCAGGATAAACAATGAGTTGCTTTTTAAGACCAATCTCTTTTCATTAGACATCAAGGCACCACATCAGGGCACTTTTAGAACAATAAAAAAGACACAATAAATCATTACCAATCATTAGAACTAGACAGGTAATAGCAGAGTAACTTTCCTGGCCTGTGTAATGAGGATGGCTAAATAGGATTAGGGATTTACAATTTATTTAATTATTAGAATGCTGTTTTATTACCATAAAGGTAAAGGGCAAAACACAGTCTGTTCATTTCTACTGCAAGCGCCAGTAATTCCAGGTGATCAAAGTCTGCAAGGCACTCCTATCATTTATTACAAAGAAGCAGTTCTAATTATAAAATAGTGAATTAAGATTCCACAGTTCCCATCTTTTCTTCATACTATTGATCCTAATTTTTACTATTTTTTTTAGGAGTTTGGAATTGTACATTTGTTATGTCATTATTAATTATTCCTTTTAAGGGGTGAAAATCCTGGTAATTGGTCCTTACCCTTGATTTCCAGATATTAAAATTTAAAGCATCAGAACATTCATTCTTATAGCCCTGCATATCTAGTTCATTAACAAATATGAATAGCTAACACCAGCTCATTTAAATACTATGTCTTACATGAGTTCTCGCTACACTCTGTTTCTGTCACACTGCTCCCAAGAATCATTGGCTCTTATTATACATGTAAATGGCTATCATAAAAATAAAAATTTCATTTAAGATTGTTAATGACTTCTGCAGCAGTCAGACTTCCTTTAATGATCATCCTCTGCCCCTAATTAAACGTATTTATCTTTCAAGCATCTTTGGCTGAGTACTCCCTCATAGTTGAAAATCTAAAAAACCTTAAGTCTTAATGGATATAGCGATAAATGTTTATGTGTTGAATTGCAAGGATTCTAGAAAGCCTAACCAAAAACAAAATTGGAAGCTGCAAGAATTAAAAAACAAAACAAAAACAAGTTTTGCTTTGTGAGGAGAGGGGAAAAGGGAAGGCACCAGAGGGCACTCAGAGTAGAGCAACATGCAGGGGTTTTTTTCGTTTTTTGTTTTAAATTGTACATAGATAGTGCTAAACTCCTAGCAAATTCCAGGCCCAAAGCTTTTTTATAAACATGGTAAAATTAAAGTATGAGATATGTTATGTTTCCCTGATCTCTCCAGCCACCTCGATGCAAAGCACCAAGCATGGATGCTATACATTTGAACCTGGGTTTCTTCATGAGCCCTGCTGAAATTAATGGAGGTTGTTTGGCACCATTGCCTAGTGGAGTGCCTTCTCTATGAGGTCTCATTACCACTGGTGGCATATATGTAGCATTAATAGCTGCAAAGCAAGAGTAGCAGTAGTGGTAAAATATCAGCAACGATCTTATTACTATAGGGCAACTGCAACTTCCCCAATCTGTACCTCTGGAAATGTATGCACGAGCAACAATGAAATCAAGGTTGCTGATGCTACAGTGGCCATCTTTTTCGCAAGTGTACTATAAGGCAGCTTCAAGGGTGAGATGATGCCTTTCTGATAGCTCCTGGTGTTGTTGCAACTTACTTGAACAGGGACAAGGCAGAGGTGAAGTGGGGGCTGTGCAAACACACGGACAGGAATGCCAGCTTAATTCCATCAGTCCATCTGCACAGCCCTTGACCTCACTGCTATCCTGCCCTACTCCAGGCCTATCCAGGCCAACTGCAGTGAGGCTGGTGTCCAAACCACTCCTCTGTCACTCAGTACTTATGCAATCCCTTACGCTATTGGGGTGGGGGTACAGCTTCCGAGTCATGTGGCCAGCATGACTAAGCTGCTTCTGGCAAACCAGAGCAGCGCACAGAAATGCCGTTTACCTTCCCGCCGGAGCGGTACCTATTTATCTACTTGCACTTTGATGTGCTTTCGAACTGCTAGGTTGGCAGGAGTAGGGACCGAGCAACGGGAGCTCACCCCGTGGCGGGGATTCGAACCGCCGACCTTCTGATTGGCAAGTCCTAGGCTTTGTGGTTTAACCCACAGCGCTACCTGTGTCCCTCTATGTCTTGGTATGAGTGCTATTTAATGACAGAAGAGGGGCTATGTTTTTCGTAACCTGGCTGTGCCCAGGACTCCAGTTGCCTCCTCAGATATTAGCTGGTGTAAATGGTTGGAGCCTCACACCTGATAAAGTTTTCAAGATGATGCTGAGGAAACCATGCAAATTCTCAACCTTGCTAGCATTTTTTTTCACATGGAGTGTACCTTTGTTGAAAAGCAAATTTTAGATCAGGGTTTTTCATTTAGTATGTGGGCCACAAAGTTTCACTTGATGTTATTTCCTGTGATTTCTTTCTTTCTTTCTTTTAACTCAACTTGGCTTAAGCCCATTCTTATTTCCCTAGAGAGACCTGCCAAATACTGGCAATCATTATCACATACTTAACTGTTAAATAATAAAAGAATACCTGACCAGGTAGAAGTGTGAAATCTTATTTGCACTTAACAAAAGGAAATGATTAGATGGTTGAATGACAATACAAGGTGTCAGACAGACACTGAAACTATATTAAACTGATAAACAGCTCTGCAGTTCTAAGCAGCTGTACAGCTCTGAATTTCTAAGCTCTTGTGTTATAGCCTGCAAATGACATTCCTCTCTTTTCTCTCTCTCTCTCTCTCTCTCTCTCTCTCTCTCTCTCTCTCTCTGTGTGTGTGTATGTGTGTCTGTCTCTCTCAGTTTATGTAGCATAAAATGCATATTTCTGTTAATACCTGCATCCTCTGTGGAGATAGATAGATGATAGATCGATAGATAATGTGATGCACACAAATGTAGATGTTAGCTGGAGTTATTTCCAAACAGAAATATAATCCCCGCGTAAGATGCAAAGGCTGTAATGTGACCGAACAAGTATCACCTCATAATCTGTCATCAGCACTTGTATCTCACTTCTGCCACAAGCAGAGCTCTGGGCATGGAAGGAAGTGTACTCTGCTTATCTGCTTTCTGAACAACTAACTGTTTTAGTCATAGCTTGAAAAGGCAGGTAGTTTTGAAACTTCAGGCTTACCCGAACCATCCACAGAGGCTTGCAAGATCTCATTGTTGTGCCAGGGGTGATCAACTCCGCTTTCCCTCATCTCATCTTCCTCCTCCTCTCTTGGCATCAGTGCTTGGCTCACATGTGGGGAAGGCTCATGGTTGGGCA